TAATCATTTTAATCTAAATTGTAGCTAAAAAAATATTACTTTTTTTAACTTTAGATTTATATCGATAAAACAATTCTGAATTAAAATCACTTCTTTTCTTCTCGATAGAAATGTAGCAAGAAAGATAGCATTTAATTATCGAAGTATACTATCAAAATTATGTCATTATTTTTACCTGAATTGCATCTAAAAAATTATATATATTATTTTTACTTCAGATTTGCATGGATTGTAAAAAAAACCTGATTTAATATCACTTCTCTTTGCTCGACAAGAAGACAGCAAGAAAGATGGGGCAGAATTTCTCGTCGTATACTAACAAAATTATGCGTTATTTTAATCGACAAGAAAATGTTTTCTTAGATAATTTAACGAATTTTTTTTCGCAAATAAGGATTTTAAAAAGTTATTTTGGTTTGAAATTATTCAAAATGTGACCATATTTGTTTATTTTCAAAAATGCTTCATAAAAGAAACAAGATTATTTACTTTGTTTGATATATCTCTGTAGTATCCCTTTTTTCAGTACAAAAGAAATTTTCACTTCTGCCATTCTTTTACACGATAAAACTCCTACCAACCTTCCACGGTAATAGCCGAATGAAAATTTTAATGGGTAAAAGGGATAAAATCTAAACTTTTCAAAATTATGGAATGGTGGGTAGTCTTTTTGCCTACTAAAACTTGGGTCGGGGTTAATTTAAGAGGAGGTTATACCACGAAAGAAATGTTTCGCAACAAATTCTCTTTCAGTTTCGTAAATAATTTAGTATTTAAAATAAAAAATTCCGGTAAAAAAGAAAGAGTGAATTCCGATAAAACTAGAGTTAACCATGAAGTTTCCTACGCTGAAAAAAATTATTAAAATGCAACAAATTATGTTGTTGTAGTTGTAGTTCATTTACATCGTACTGGAGCTTCCCAATGGGCTATTGGCGACAGTCTGGGAAGCATCCCTGAGAATGATCCGAAGATATGCCATCCCAACATCACAATTTTGATCCCCTGCAGAGGGGATGGCACCCCCGCTTCGGTATCCCAAAGACCTGCACGCGATGTCGATCACTTTTTCAGTAGAACAATTTAACGAGGACCGATACCGCGCACCCTTGGTCCCTACGCAGACTGATCCAAGTGATCACCCATCCGCACACTGATCGTAGCCAGTGATGCTTGACTTCGGTGATCTGCTGGGAACCGCGTCTTAACGATCAGTCCGCTGCGGCAACAAGTTATGAGAGGACTACTCAGAATTATGCTGTGAATAAGTTCCCCTACAGTAATTTGTTTACATTTTTCTAAGTATTTTTCAACATTTGTATCTCATGGCTCACTCTAGGTTTACCAGGACTCAATTTTCTCTAAACTTTAAAATTTAACACGTTGAATGCCATGCTAATTTTACATGACTTGCCCGTCTGGCCAAACTGATTTTCTCAGCATGTATTGCATTATATTTCTTCAAACCATTTTAGTAACGATAATAACATTAAAAAAATTAAAAACATTAAAAATTTACTCGAATTATGTGTTTCTATTAATCTTGGCTTCACTGGTCACCGGGTATCCCCGTGTCGCTACAAACTCAGTGCAGTGCCGGTCACCGGTGACCCCCATGGCATTCAACGTGTTAAAGTACCATTGGAGAGGAAACAGATTTAGTAGCTAAAAGTCTTTCCATCGGTATATATATACCCGTAGTCTTCAAGAAGGAAAAGTACTCGCTAACTTGGGTGATTGGGAAGCGTGGTGCAGAGACTGGGAGCTTACTTCATTCGCTTCTCCTTCTAATTTTTTTAATTTTATTTTATAACTGACGTTGAACTGCCGACCCAATTTTGAGTTCACTACAATCAATATACAACTCATCAACCTTATAATTTTGTATCCAATCCACATGACAAGAGAACTCCTGGATCAAGCATTGGGTTAAACTAGCCTTCGTGGAGGGCTTTTTGGTGGAACTAAACCACACTTGCGTTACATGGGAAGGAAAATCACGAAATACTCCCATGGTTAGCCCGACTGCAGGGGAATTCTAATCCATTATTCATCTAGCACTGTGAATTTTTCACGTCCTCACAGCGATTGGAAGCGAAATGGTGGAAGATTTTATATCAACCAGCCATCACTGGGTTTTGAACCTGGGACACCTCCTTGGTAGGCAGATGCTCTATCCTCTTAGCGACCACTGCTCTTTCTTTCTAAATTTTGGCTGTGTGGTGCGGGCATATGCTTATCTTTTGATAGCCATTGAAAATGAATCCCAGATCAACAGACCAATTGAATCCAATCGCCAAAGCTTATTAGTATAGATCATCCGATGTTTATAACCAAACCAAAACTAAAGGAATAAGCAATACAACTAAAAGAATAAATCAGTAGTTCATCAATTTAAAAAAATATTTAAAATGAAATCAAAGAAAATATGCTTTTAAAATGAAATTTAGAAAAAAAAAGTTCATTTGGGTTTTTTTCGTTTTATTCATTTTTTTTATTAATTAAAAAAATCTGAGCTATAAATTAGCTACATGAGTCAAAATTTTCCACTGAAATTAGGCCGCTAACTACAAGTAACGACGAAAAATTACCAACCAAGTATTTTATATCAATAATATTTTTTTTTATGCAAGAATACACTGTATTAGAATAGTATCGCCTTGGGCATTATGATAAGCCACGCTTTAAAATTGTTCAGAAAGCACTATTTGGAAACAGCTTGATGTAAAAATGTCAACTATGGAAGAAGTTTCGTTTATCTCATCACTATATTTCTCACAATCCCTTCAATTGTATCTTTTTATTTTATGTGACAGTGTAAAAGTTGACAAAAAAGACATCAAAACCAGTACTAAAAAATTATTGAACTTTTGGAAAAGAAATCAAGCTTTGTTTCTTTTTTGGCCATTTCTAGTTTATTTTTAAAGCTAATGTTTACTGTAGGTTAAAATTGAGAAGTATTTTCAATATTTAATCCAGTAAAAGCATTTATACGATGATCTAATCTATAAATATTCTATGTAATTTGACATTAAAAAACACTTCATATACAAAGATATTCTTAATGTACTTTGTATACTTCTTTATTGTACGTTATTATCAGTATGCTCGAAATTGTAAAAGTATTTTAAGTAAAAGAAGTAATTCCATCTCAATCATTAAGTATGCTTGAATCATAAAGAAATATATTTAAAACAAAATTACGAACCACTCTTACTAGATTCTAAATAGTATGCTGTTTTTACATGAAAATAGCCATGTTTAGAACTATGAATTTTACATTCTTAAGGCCTTTTGTACAGTTCTTAATTGCTCGTTATTATCAATATGCTCAAAATTGTAAAAGTATTTTAGATGAAAGAAATAATTCTATCTTAAGCACTAAAAGTACTTAAATTATAAAGATATATATTTAAAACAAAATTAAAAATCACTCTTACTAAACTCTAAATAATAGTCTGTGTTTAAACGAAAATAACCGTGTTTAAAACTCCGAATTTTATATTCGTACATATACTACATAAGTATTCGACTATCATTAAATTAAATAACAAAAATATATAAAATAATTCATAAAAACTTTTTGCATTGAATTATTTTCGGATAAACAAATTTTATAGTTGCGTTCTATGTTTCAGTTAGGTTAAAAAGTTCTCGAGATATGGTGAAGTAAGCAAAAAGTATAAATTAGCATTGAGGGGTTCAAACTTTGGAACTGACCAAACTATGTGGGCGATATTTCTCAGATTGCGGTACCCAATTTCTTTTGTATGTTTGCTCAGAGAAATTACGTTTTTGTGTCTGATTTCTATACTTAAAATGTCTGCTCCATAACATATTTGAGGTCACCCTCTGGAACCATTGAGATTGAGTTCTGGAACGTAAAGATCCGATCATTAGATCAAAAGTTATTCAGAATTTTTTTTCTGCTCGTTGTACATGTGATTAAACTCTGTTTCCTAACGTCTTCACCCATTCGTGCATCCGAAATTTCTATTAAGGCAAGTAAATTCCTGTTTCCTATGTAGTTTTAGGCGCTTAATCGAATAAGAACAAAACAAAGTCGATAGATAGGACAAGTATAATTCAGAAAAAAACATTTCGTTTTACTTAATATTATTCTCTGAAGAGTAGGGGAGAGTGGGGTCAATTGTAACAGGGTACGATTGTAACAGAACAAAAATTTCGAGTATCGGGTTCTAGATTTGGTTCCTAGGTGGCGCACAAGTTGTATTTAGTAAATCTACATGTACACCCCTGCTGGCAACCATTTTATTGTACTTTTGAACGCGTTACATCACAAAAAATATTTTCACGCNCTCCATAATTCTATTTTGATATTCTTCGCATCGAATTATTTTTGAATAAACAAATTTTATAGTTGCGTTCTATTTCAGTCGGATTAAAAATGTTCTCGAGATATGGTGAAATAAGCAAAAAGTATTAATTAGCATTAAGGGGCTCAAACTTTGGATCGCTCTCCTGACCAAACTGTGCGGACGATATTTCCCAGATTGCGGCTACCCAATTTATTTTGGGAATCTGAAATTCGAATCCATCGAAAAAAATGCATGTTTGCTCAGAGAAAGTACGTTTTTGTGTCTCATTTCCATACTTAAAATATTGTCTGCTCGATAACATATTTGAGGTCACCCTCTGGAACCATTGAGATTGAGTTCTAGAACGTAAAGATCCGATCATTGGATCAAAAGTTATTCAGAGTGTTCCTTTTTTTTCTGCGCTTTCTTTATGTGACTGGACTCCTAACCTCATCACCCATTTGCGCTTCAAAAATTTCTATTAAGGCTCGTAAATCACTGTTTCCTATGTATTTTTTGGTGCTTAATCGAATAAGAGCAAAACAAGGTCGATAGATAGGACTAGTATAATTCAGAAAAAAACATTTTGTTTTACTTAATATTATTGTCTTAAGTATAATTATCTCTTGTGATATATTTTATTCTATAACGACATTAAAAGTGTTATCTTTTTCATTTCAGTCTGTGGATTCATATTCGACAGCAACGTTAGAAGTAATGGCACATTTGTGTCACCCAACTACCCAGGTTATTATCCCAGAGACACGGAATGTCACTATTTTTTTCAAGGAAAATCTAAGGAAAGAGTACACATTACTTTCAACAAGTTCAATGTAGACGGAATCCCACCGTAAGTTTTATTTTACTTTCAATACATGTAATAAAATGTGTGTCACTTTAAAATGGAAATTAAATTAAAGTTCTTTTAGAATTTAATCGTTAGAAAATTAAGAATCTACTTTTCGTTATTATGATAAATAAATTTATTTTAGATATTAAAATAATTTTACATAGAAATGGAATTTAATTTATAAACGAAAAATTTACATACAGTTTGAAGAGCTTATTTTTTAAGACACCTTTGCAGAAACATTTTTAAAGAAAGAAACGTTTATCATGTAATAATCGTTTACCATGCGTGAAATATATTTTATTTTCTAACCGTCGTTCAACAGTTGACCCCATTTTTGGGTTTACAACTACTAATGCTCAACGCCGCAGCCCTGTAATTTTGAACCCAATCCAGAAGACAAGGGAACTCCTGTATCAAGTATTGGGAGAAATTTACCTTCGTGGAGGACTTTTTCATGAAAATAACCCGCATTTGCGTTACATGGGGAGGTAGACCATGAGAATCTCTCACAGTTAGCCTGATTGCAAGGGGGCTCTAACCCATGATCCATCTACCACTGAGGATATTTTACGTCAGCACTGTGGTCGGTGGAAGCCGGATGCGGAATTCGTATCGACCAGTCATAGCTGGGATTCGAACCCGGTTCACCTCATTAGAACACGAACGCTCTATCCCCTGAGCCATTGCAGCTTTTACAAATACTAATGTTTAATTCCGTAGACTTGTTATTTTGAACCCAATCCAAAAGACAAGGGAACGCCTGGATCAAGTATTGGGAGAAATTTGCCTGCTCCAAAGATTTTTTAATCGAACTCACCCGCATTTACATAACATGAAGAAATTACACGAAAAACTCCCACTGTTGTCTTGACGGCAAGGGGACTCTAACCCACAATTCGTCTACCACTGAGGATATTTTACGTCAGCATTGTGATCGGTGCAAGCCGTTTGCGGAATTCGTGTCAACCAGTCATCACTGGAATTCGAACCCGGGTGAACTCACTGGATGGCGAGCGTTTGATCCCCTGTGCCCTCACGGCTTCAGTGAAAGATATTGCGAAGTATCAGTGGCGTTGAAGATGTGGATCTTCTGTGAATGTTGATATTAGTTTTTATTTTTATCTACCTCAGATTTTTTTCGTTATATTTTTTTAATAATTTCCTCATCAATACTCTGTTACCATTCACTGAACAATCAGTGTCAATTCATTATTCAGTTTCACTCTATAATCATTTTTTAGACGTGCATTTTCAGCCATATCTATTTCGTAAAAGTTACATTTCGGGCTATGTCCATTTCTTAAAAGCGCATTTTGAAATATTTCCATTTCTTAAGAGGATGCCATACCACGAGAGTAACTTTTCGTCACAAATTTCCTTTCACCTTCACTACTAATTTGAAATGAAGAAAAAGTGAATTAAGCCATACCTAGAGAACGTCATGAAGTTACAATCGTGGAAAAAAAAATTCAAAATATCAAATTACAAATAAGTTACTGAGGAGAACTTCTCCATTGCGTAATATTAAGTTATCTTCACATAATTTATTTTCATTTTGATGTTTTAAAATTTTATTTCCGCATTTGAAACTTCATGGCTTTCTCTAGGCATGTCTGAACTCACTTTTTCCGTACTTTAAATTTCAAATTACTTATGGAGATGAAAGAGATTTTATGACGAAAAGTTTATCCCTTTGTATGGCGTCCTCTTAAGCTCGCATTTTGAGCTATATCCATTCCGATCTCGGTTGAGCTATATCCATTCCGATTTCTTAAACGCTCACTTTGAACTACAGGGTGCGTTCTGAAAGTAATGCGCATGATTTTATTGTGACGCGACAATTGATCGCAGTGCACTCAGATTGGTCAAAAAAGGTAGTGGGGGACTTATCCTTCCAAACAAGCCTGGTCTCAGGTAGCTCCGAGCAGTAGGAGCGGTAGGACGTGTCCTCGCTCAAAGTCTTTTTTTCGATCGAGTCACGGCGTGATGGAGTGCTCGTTCGCTGGAACAGCGGTATGCGATAAAGTTTTGGGTGCGACTTGGGAAGAATGTGACTGAAACTCATCACATGCTTCAAGACGACTTTAAGGAGGAATGCATTTCAAGATCTCAGTGTGGAAGGTGGCACAAGGCCTCCAAGGAGGGTCGGGAGAAGGTCACCGACGAGCCTTGTTCTGGACGCCCAACAACAGCCCGATCCAATGAAAACGTCCAGCATGTGCTTGAAGTTTTGAAGTCAGACAGTCGGTTAAGCATTCAGGTAATCGCTAACACCCTAAACTTGTCAAAATGTGTGGTACATGGGATTGTGACGAAGGATTTGCAAATGCAAAAGGTCTGTGCCGAAGGTGTTGACGGAGGAGCAAAAAAGTGTTCGAGTTTTGCGCAGTGAAGAATTGCTGGAATTGATGAGTTGATGCCCCAGCCTCCCTATCGCCCTGACTTGGCACCGTGTGACTTTTTATTGCTCCCCCGACTGAAAAGAGAACTGAAGGGAAAGCACTGGGAGTCGGTGGAGAACATCCAAGCTCATGTTACAAGGTTCCTGAGAGGCATTCCTGTCGAGGACTTCCAGGGTGCCTTCCAGACGTGGCAAAATCGTTTCCGCAAGTGTATTGATGCACAAGGGAACTATTTTGAAGAATTTTAACCATTTGTACCCATAGGATCAATAAATCTATTTTTCCCAGAAAATGCGCATTACTTTCAGAACGCACCCTGTATATCAGTTTTCTTAAACACGCATTTTGAGCTATGTCCATTCCGAGCTCTGTCCATTTCTTAAACGCTCACTTTGAACTATATCAGTTTTCTTAAACACGCATTTTGAACTATAATCATTTCTTAAACGGGCATTTCGAGCTATGTCTAACTTAAACAATTCTTTGACGATTTGCTTTTTTTATATACTTAAGCCTGATAATACTTTTTATATTTTATAAGCATAGAAAATAATTTTTCATTTCGAATTCTTTCACATAGGAGGAAAGTAAACCACGAACTACATTTTATCCACAAAATTTTTAAACAACACGACGAGAAATATTTTCGGAATTTCATTGCATTCCCACAAAAAAAAATCGTAGTAGATGTTTAAATAGCAAAGAATTCGCTCGCCAACGAAATGGAAGACTCAATATTTTTCTTACTGATCATTCCTCGCGTTTCACACCGCATCTATCAAGCTCACCTTCCCCACAGGAATCAACATCGTCTCGCCAAGCCAGAAATCGTATATTATGCATGTAAAGAAGGTAAAAATGAAAGAAGAAAAAATAGAAAAAAGAATATGAAACTCAAAAAGAAAAGTCCACAGCATTGTAGATTACATTTATTCACCACGCTGCGATTTAATCTATTCTGTTAGAATAAAAAAAAATTCTCTACACCCCTTCTGTTACTTCCATCCACCCATCTCAGCAACTTGCAGAGAACGTTTCGATACGATAGAGATTGTGGGATCACTCAAATCGATTTTAGAGGCATTTTACCTTGCGGTTTTTTGTTTATTTTTTGACAATGAGTACATTCATCATTTTTTCCTTCTTTAAAGAAGAGAAAGTTTGGAGTAGACGCAAAAGTTTTACTTTTATTTTATAATTTTATTTATTTTTTGGTCTCATTCTTTGGCTTTTATTTGCTGCCTTTGGACGTGAGGAAAAGATGATAACGTTAAAGCGTTACTGTCTGTGGAAAATTTTTGAGGTAAAAAGCAGAACAGATATGGTTTCAGATATGGAACAGATATAAGTTTCAAATAAAATGAAAATCATCATGTCAAAAACATATTCGCTTATGCTGATATGTTACTTAATAATTTATACATTGTTTCATGTATTAAACCATAATTTTTTTCTACAACGTGAATAATAAAATTGGAAATAAATTTTAATTGGACTATATTTTCTCACAAACCAGATGTTGCTGTACCGTTCCAAGATCTAGATAAAAAAAATAATGGATGATATCCTTCATAAAAGAAAATTAAAATTAAAGGGAACGATAAGTTATGCCTTATTGTAGAACAAAATGGAACGAACCATCAAATTTAAAAGGGATTCATGACAAAGTCAACGATATATTAAATAGCATTTATTCAGCATGCTGCAATTTAATATATTCTGTTAGAATGTAAAATATTCTCTACACCCCAGTCTGTTACTCCCATCTACTCATCCATCAATCAATCTCAACAACTTACAGAAAACGATTCGATACTAGGGAGAATGTGGGATCACTCAAATCACTTTTAGAAGTATTTCACTTTAGGTTTCTGTGACATTTATATATTTATTTTTTTAACATTTATTCTTTAATAAACGTCATCGCAGTGACAATTCATCGCGAGCACAACTCGTTGTGGGCACGATTCATAGCGGTAAAGATTCATCATAGGCACAATTCTTCATGTGCACAACCTTCTTAGCGAGAATTCATCGTGGGCACAACTCTTCGTAGCGACAATTCGTCGTGGGCGCAACTCGTCGGAAACACAATTCGGCACAACGACAATTCGACTAACAAAGGTTTATAAACCTATAAAAATGCGATTTTATTTTCAACCGCTTAAAATATTGTAGCTACATCTTAATTGCATAACAATAGTGTAAGATATTATCATGTGAAATATTTGCATGTTGGATCTAATTCATTATTGTATCGCCTTAGAGGTAAATTTTGGATCATTAGTGGTAGAAAGGTGATTGTAGAAAGATTGTTTTCCAATGCATCACATGCTTTAAAAACAAACCTGTGCTAGAAGATCAATTGTTGTTGTTGTAGTTCATTTACGTCGCACTAGAGCTGCGCAATGGGCTATTGGCAACGGTCTGGGAAACATCCCTGAGGATGATCCGAAGACATGCCATCACAACATCAAAATTTTGATCCCCTGCAGAGGGGATGGCACCCCGCTTTGGTAGCCCAACGACCTGTACGCAAATTCGAGCACTTTACGGTAGAACAGTTTAACGAGGACCAATACCGCACACCCTCGGTCCCTACGCAGACTGATCCAAGTGGTCACCTACCAGCACACAGACCGCAGCCAGTGATGCCTGACTACGGTGATCTGCTGGGAACAGTGTCTTAACGATCAGTCCACTGCGGGAGGCTAGAAGGTCAAATCATGGATAATTTACCCAAAGAGCAAGTCAACCCCTATTTTCCTTTTCATAATGTTGGAGTAGTTTTTTGTGGTCCTTTTTACATTAAATTTAAAAACCGGAGAACAAGAGAACGAAATAAAATATTTGTAAGTATGTTTAAGCACCAAAGCGATTCATTTGCATTTCGTAACCGAACTAACCTCAATAACCTTCATTGCTTGTTTAAAACGTTCTTTTTTAGTCGTAGGGGAAAATGTTCAAAATTATGCAGTGACAATGCTAAAAGCTTTATAGGTGCATGTGAGAAATTGAAAAAAACATCATAGTATGGTAAAACAACCAGATAAAATGTTGGCTATTTTTTTTTCCAGTGAAAATATTGAATGGAATTTAATACCCTCAATATCACCAAATTTTGGAGGTCAAATTTGGTAAAATCTTTTAAATATCACCTAAAACGCATTATCGGAAGAGCTAATTTGACTCAAAATAATTTCTATTCCAGAAATTGAGAGTGTTTTGATTTTTCGACCCAATTCCCCTTAAACTGCTGATTTTGATAATTTTAAAACCTTGTCACCAGGTCACTTTTGTCAAAGGAACCTTAGACTTCATTTGTTTAACCTCATCTTGTTGAGTTACCAGAGAACAGACTTTCTAAATGGAAAAAAATAGCAAAGTATAGTCAACAAATTTGGAAACTGTGGAAGAGGAACTATTTAAGTAATTTACAACAACGGCCTAAGTTGATGTTTACAAAGAATAATGATTAGGTTCGTTCACTTGTGTTAATCAGAAATGGGCATAGGTCAAGTACAAAGTCGCTAACATAGTTAATTGCTGAAATAATTTGTGGAAATGATGGAAGAGTACGAGTAGTAAATATCCTTGTTACCAAATGGTAAAATATTGATGACGAAATGTTAGAGATGTATGTTAGGTTCAAGAGCAAGCAGTGCGCATATGTCGTCATAGCGTGCGTTGCTATGGTGACTGCTGTTTGCTCTCTAATAAGTCAGGGCTAAAGAGAATATAAGGGCTAGTTCACTTCGCTCTTAGAGCTGAAGCTACGATTTCCCTCCTCATGACGTCACTGTGTCCACAGATCTCGGAGATCGCAAGCAAAGATATGATAACTTTGCATCTTTCTCTTTGTAAAAATAAGTTAGACTTTTTCTGGTTATTAGCCTTTAAACTTTAAGTAATTTACACATTATTTCCGTTCATAAACATAGTTTAAAAAAAACTTTCTTGGTTATTATATTAAAAAAATACCATTTTAAACTTATAAAAATGTTTTGCTAGTTGGTGAAAATGACACGATAAATACTTTATTTTAAAAAGTTCAGTTTTAACTTTAACTATTAAGAAAAATGAAGGCATATATCGACACTTTTTTTATCTACATATTCTTTTATAAAGATAAGTTAAGTTAAATTTAGAATCCCTGATTTTAAAATATGTCGTTAATAGCAATTTGTTCATACTTAATCATTAGGAAACATCAACCTTAAACGCTAATTACTGAAACAAAATAATAATTTAGGTTCATAATGACATTAGAAATTTTACAATTGTTTATAGACATTTAAATTTACGATGATATAATTTATAGATATTTAAATTGAAGAGAATATAATTTTTAAAAAAAATCATAAATATTTAGAATAACTACATTAAAAAATATGTTATGAAATTAGGAGAATTTCAACTATATACTATATATTTTATTTATACTTTTTACTTACATTTTAATTTTCTTTGACTTTATCTATTTTTTAATTCTTTTCACCTGCCTTTCTTTATGAAGTAACGAGGCGGTTTCTATTTAGATAATGAATTTTTATAAAAGTTCTTTACGACAGAATAAACGTATTGCTGTTTTATATTAACTGTGTCATTTCGGAATCCATTCTTTACATAGTTGTTCATTTACTTTAGGGAACACGCGAAAAATTATACTTTTTCCTTTTGTTTTTATATCAGAATTTTTGCAAGTTGCAATCGCGCAAACTGGCATTTCGATAATAGTTTTAAATTCTTGTAAATTCACTGCAAAAACTGAGGAAAGTCATTATAGAAAATAACAAATGTCTTAGAATATCTCGCAAAAAGAAATGATCCAATATTAGTTAGAGCTAGTAAGGCCAAACGCTCCGTTCTTGAAGTAAAAGTGCGAGCTTTGCGCCAAAGTGACGTCACCAGAGTGACGTCGGAGGATCGGCGCGGCGAGAGATACTTCAAAGGAGTGAACCAGCCCTTCTATTCTCTTTAGCCCTGCTAATAAGTAGTGTAAAATTGCGTCAAAAATTTGTTGTGTCATATTCTTCCATAAAATTCTGCAAGTCGAATTGTAAATGCTTAATGTCGGATTGTAATTAAAAATAAGTGTAACGATTTCTCCTGAAATAGAGATTCATTTGTTAAAATTTATTTTTTCAGTTGCTCACAAGACACAGCCAGTGACTATGTAGAATTGTCAAACTACAGAACGGTAGACAGAAAAATACCGAGACATTGTGGCGTCAAGAAACCAAGTGTCATAGAATCTGACGCTGATTTCTTCAGGGTCACTTTTAAGTCCAATAGTAAGTTTGACGGAACAGGATTCGAAGCCACCTATCAATTCAAGCCATATATAGGTAATTTTAATTAGAGATATAATTGATTTGGGAATTAATTTGCACGCCTTGTTATTAGAAATCGGCAAAAAAAGAGCTGTATATAAAAACAAAAAATAGCTACTACAGTAAAATAATATATGACGAAACCAAAACAGATAATGACGACGACTTTCAAAAATTTATTTAAAAAATTAAGTTTTGTTTCTTTTTTTTTTCTTTTTTTCAACATGTAGCTTATAGCATGTTGTGGCTGGGTGGTGCAGTTGGTTTGTTGTCAGCCTTCTGAGCCCAAGTCCCCAAGTCTGCGGGTTCGATCCCCGGCCCAGACACCGGAGTTTCGGGATGCCATGTCATATGATTATGTGGCATATGAAAGATCCTTGGAGTTATTTATTGGCTCTTCGCATTTCCGGCAAAATTAAATTCCTAGTGCACTTTAACATCTAAATAGAATCTCGGTGCTGCCATCTAGTGTGGCAGAAACTAGACGTCCAAATTAACATGGCCAACGGTATCTCACCCATTTTGGTGGTCCTGAAAGAGTGGATACCATTTCTGGAGAACGCACTAGTTCTGCTCATCGGAAGACTACTTGTGTAGCTCATAGAAAATAAAAAAACATGTAGCTTTTAATTGTAATACACCAAATATATAAAAATTTCAATTTTGAATTTTTTGACGCCTAGGGTGATTTTTCGTTGCACTGCCGGCAATAATAACTTTGTCAAGATCTTATGTAAACATATAAAAAAATAGTTACACTTTACTCTTGTTGTATTGACCATGTAGAGATTTTTTGCTCCGACAAAAAAAACTATTACACAGTACTTTACACTTATTGCTTACAGCACCAAAGAAAAGGAAACGAAATATTTTTGATCCAATATAACTACTGCTATACACCATTAAATGTGAACTTTAAATAAAAGTCTGGTTCATTTTCAATCAAATAGTTAGTACTAATGATTAGTACTTCAATTTCAAACTAACTTTAAGTATCTAATTATCACCATGAAAACTGAACCAATTATATTCCTAAATAGGATAAGTTCAAACATAATTTTCATCAATTATTTCATGGCAAAACTCTTGACTTAAAACACTTCAGGTATTTCTATTTGTCGAAATTTTCAAAATCGTGATATCTTTATCTGATGATTTAATTCCTTTATATGTTCTTGATCATTTTATAGTATCCACTGTTTTGCTATCACATATTTTTATCACTGCATTCTAAAAGCATAATTTAATACATAGTATATAAATTTTATAACATTTTATGGTGTCATTAATTACATTTTTTTTTAAATTAAACTATTTTTTTATGCATTGAATATTACAACAGAAGCAGCAGTGATTTTCTATTAAAACATTTTTTTACTTGCTTCTTAAAAGTATTTTCTCTTCTTTTTTATGATTTAACATTAAGCCTCTTAGTAGAATCTAATCTTAAAAGACCATCCATATTTTTTAGGCTCTTTATTAAAAGCCAGTTCTTAAGACGATGAAAAAGAAATAAAAAAAATTCATCTAGAAAGGAAACATAACAGATTAAATGATAACGTCGGATTAGTTAGTTGTGCTTTCAAAAAATTATTGATTGCAAATTCAGACGAAAGTAAAAAATTAAAATGAACTCCCAGACCGTGTTTCCCTGGGGTGATTTTTTTAATACTGCCATAAATATCTCACTTTTTGCGACGCTCTTAGTAAATAAATAATAAATGATAAATCTTCGATTAGAAGAAAAGCATTCTTTCTTCTTTCTAACAATGCCAATTCATCGTGATTAAAAAGTCATCGAGCAAACTTTCGGATTCTGGATTATGACATTTTTATAGATTAAAAAAAAATACAACCGTCATTTTTAGTTTTGAAAAAAGAATAAAATTCTTTTAATGCTCGGGTTATTTTCATAGATTCTATAATTCAAGGTAGTAATTTAGAATTTATGACATAGGTGATTAAACTGACGGTGTTTAATTTTTTTTTTAATTTTTTAATCGGGCTGTATTCAGAAGTACACAATCTTTAATGTTCGATTTCTATTTTTTGCCCTTCGCCTCAACATGCAACGTCAATTAAAATAAATTTTAAATTATTGATTAGTATAATGAAATTTCAATATTTTTTGAAAATATATTATTTAGACACTATTTTACTTATATTATTTAAGTATTCATTTCCTTAAGACTATAAGGAAAATATTATTCTTTACTCTGAATAATTTTTCAAAACATTTTCTTTAAAAAAATTAAAATCGAAAGTTTAGAACCATAGAATCGTTTTCTTGTGGGGCTAAGACTGTGGGATATAAACAGGGGAACAAATTTTTTTTTGAATTCATACAAATATTTGATCTTACCTTATTCGAGTGGGAAAAATTTTAAATCTAAAACTAGTTTTCGTCCGAAAGGTACAGATTTTTTTCATAATATTTTCAGCACATTTTTGTAGAAATGTAAAGTTTAAAAACATTATATATAACAAGGGTTGCATTGATGTTGGTCAAAATTCTTGGAGAGTTAGAGCACATCATCAGGATTAAAATTGCTTTTGAACCCTAGAACGAAAATGTAGTAGTATGCATCTAGGGGCGCATCCTTATTATGAACTGTTCAGGAGCACACGAAGAAACAGTTCGTAATAGGGAAGCACCCCTATCACGATATTTCCGGGCATGGGCTCCAATACAGTTTTAAACCGGATGGTGTGCCCTAACTCTCCTAGAAGCTTGACATAATATTTACGCAATCCCCTGCTATATATAACGTTTTTAAACTTGTACATTTCGTCAAAAAAATAGACTAAAAATGTCATTTTTCAAAGGAACTGTAGCTTGGGAGGAGAAACCAATTACAAATTTTAAATCAGTGACGTAAAAATATCCAAAATCCGTTTAAACATCTCATGAAATAAAAAACAGAAATCAATTCCTCCCGGTATAATTTAAGGAAAAATAAATTCCTTTTAAGTCTCTAGAACTGCAAGGTGAAATTCTTTGTTTTGAAACCCTTTATAAAAAGTTTTTTTTTAAAAATATTATTTAATTGAAATCCATCCTTTTTCTATTAAACTACTTATGTTTGATCATTTCCTTTTTTTTTTTTTTTCATTTTATAAAAGGTACGCCCATAGCGAAACCTTATACATAATTTATTATACATAATTGACCATACATAACTTCTGCATCAATTCTGAATTTCAATCCGTATGACCTTATAAATGAGTTATTAATTGTAAATTATCATCTAAGTGAGGAAAGAAACGAATTAATAGCGAGGTATTTGTTTGATTGCTTGAATAAACTTGGAGGTAAAAAAATGGCAATGGTGGACAATCAAATCTGTTTGATATTTATAATGCTTTCTTTCAAAATAATTCCATGATTTTGATAAAATTTTGTTTTTTCTTTTAAAAAATGTTAATATCAGGTCCTAAGTGTGCATACATTTTTTTTACTTCAGAACATTTTTTAAAGGAGAAGAAGAAAAGCTATCGAAAATAACAAAATTCTTTTTAATTGAAAGAAAACTGGAAAAAAACAGTAAACCAAATAACGAAAAGATACAATCTCGCTGTCAGCTAACTTAATTATATCTGCAAGTTCGGGTGCTTTCTAATATTGCAAGCAAAATGTATTCATACAATAGTGTGAGGACCATCAATAAAAATAGACACAAATGTTCATTTATATGCAATAAACATTTGTGTCGATTATTTTTTTTAGTGATATAGACACATTATCAAGAATAATTTTTATCTTAGAATAATTATTCTTATTCAGAAATATCGCATTAAATTATAGCAAAAGATGTGTCCTGATGAAGACTTTTGCTTTTTCCCATTAATAGTTTTCTATTTTATAATGTTATTTTTTATTTTGACAAATAGCCCTTTTGCACTAGTTGCATACGTATTTTGTCATTCTGTGTTTCTTAGAGGGACAGAAAGTATAAAATCTGCCTTTGTCCGCCACATTTTTAGTTGTATCTCTGGTGGGCTTTTCGATATTTAAAATATCTTCAAAATTTATTCTGATGGAGCAAAATATTCAACTGTTGGATGACTATTAAAATAAATCTCAAAAAGTGACTAGTATACAATTGTTGCCTTTGAATAACTGATTTTACTAAGGTACTGTGAATGTGGTAGTATGAGCGCAACGGAAACATCTCGAATTAGCAAGGAATGGTTGTCAGTTAGGCGAATAGTTAGTTATTTAGTTATCTAGGGTTAAAATATAAATAAATAATACGTGATCAAACTCAACATCTTATCTAAACTCAATTTCTTTTCAGATCCAGCTACAGTTAAACGTATTTCAAATGGAAACACAAACAGTACGAATAGTAAGTATGACTTTTTTTTTTAACTTTTTCAACTACACTAGTGAATAAAAATCTGTTTCTGTGCAAAAATTTTAATACCTCTTAGCATTTTCTTCTTAGTAGACCGAACTCAATCATCAAAGAGTTATGGATTGATGAAGGAAATGTTAAATATGCTTTTAATCATTTTTAAATCTAAAAAAATCCCCCAATATATCCCCCCTAAAATTTCTAATTCTAATTTACTTTACTCGACAGTGTCTTCTAATGGATATAGAATGCAATGTCGTCTCCAAATCTAAAAGAACAAAGCTGCTGGTGTTTTGATAATTTCTGACAAAATTATTCCAATGATATCAATCAGCATTTTTAGAAAGGCAATTTATTTAACTAATTTATTTTTTTCATTGCATTTCTGCTCAATTTACTATTTTAGGACTTTCAAACTTCATCCAAATCATTTATTTAAGATTAAAAAAAATCAAGAAAAAGAATTAAATTTTTTAAAATCAAAAAGCAGTTGAATATTCAATATTAAACTGCATATCCAAAATCACTAATCACACAGTCTTATTTCTTTAAATTTTTGAGGAAAAAAAACCATAGAATTTCTAACATTTTTCAGATCTTTTTTTCAATCAAGTGAAACGAATATCTTTTAATCCATTTTTTCCTTCAGAATAGAATGATATTGTATAATCAAAAACTGTTAGATGTTAATGTATAATTAAGAATGTTTAAAAAAAAAATAATTGAAAAAGCGAAAATAAAAAGAATTACTTAAAATCTAAGACAGTGCGGTAAAAGGACTCTTAATTTGGGAGAACGGCTATTTGCCTAGTTTTATAACAACACAGAGAAATTTTGATCTGTAGAAAAAAACATTTTCAAACTTAGATCACGTGACTGGTTTGCCCCATTCTCCATAATAATTACCTAACAATCTTTCTTTAATGAAATTAAATATAAGCTCAATGCAAACCATATCTTTGAAGATAGTCCAGTAAGGATAATATTCCGTTCTTTTTTTTAAACTTACAAATCTGTGTTACGTAAATTAAATCAATAAAATCTCTGTTGTTTTGTAATTGTGAGAGAAAAAAAAACACTATTTTAAAGTAAGTTAAAGAATAAGTAAGATAAGTACATTTTTTCAGCATTCTTTCTTTCTTAACCCATTAACTCTTACATTTTATGTATTTAAACGTTGTTTCCTTAAAATCTTTTTCGTCTGTAAGTTTTTTTTCTTTTTAATCCTAGAGTAATCGTCGAAGTTTCAGTTACTCACTTCAAAGGGAATTCCTTTTTCTTTTAAAATTAAATTCCCTACTAGGCCTGATGTCTGCCTTTTCTAGCTTGTTCTACTTCGGCCTCTTTTACGTTGTTTTTATCAATCGAATTTTTCTTACAATTAAATTGTTTTTAATATTAATCCGTGTTTCTATTTGTTTTACTATCCATGTTTGCTTGTACCGCTTTGAAGAATTGCGCCAATTCAGTTGCGTGTGAACTGTGAATAAAAACTCTTTTTTTTTTAATCAAAAAGTCACGCCATAATTAAATCAATTTAAATTCCTTAAAACTTTACCTTAATAATATTAGTTAAACTTTTTTGTAAAAAGCTTTGAGTGCATATGACTTCGTACAAAATTGTAAATGAATCAGCATATTATGTTTTTAAATGTACAGTGCACAAAAAATGGACCAGTCTTAATAATTTTTGATCTAATTATCAGATCTTCACATTCTAGAACTCACTTTTAATGGCTCGGGGGTGTGACCTCAAATATGCTAATTATAAGTGTAGGCGATATTTTAAGTTACGAAATCTGACACAAAACGTACTTTCTCTGAATAAACATACCTTTTTATTCGACTGATTCGAATTTTCGATCACCAAACTATAGGAGAAAGCAGCAATCTTGGAAATAGGGCCCCCATAGTTTGGTCAGGAGAGCTGTCCAAAGTTTAGACCCTTTAATATTAATTTTTCTTTTTGCGTATTTCGCTATATCTCGAGAATTTTTTAAGCGAATTGAGAAAATTTTACACGCAGTTATAAAATTCATTTTTCAAAAGATAATTCCATGTAAAAAATAACTTTTAGCAACTATTATTTATTATTATTCTTTTTAAGAATGGTCGAAAATGTTTGAATTGCAAGGATACAATTTTTGATTTTAAGGAATGTAATTTTACATGGCAAGATACAAAATTTGAACAAAATCGGTTAAATAGTTCCTGAGAAACTGAATTTCAAAAAGATCTTGTTCAAAATTTGATTTCTCAGGAACTATTTAACCAATTCTCAGGAACGATTCAACAGAACGATTCAATTGTGTTAAAAATACATCAATTATTAATTCTTGGTGTAAATGACGTAACTATCTCTTTCGTATAATTATATTTACTGCAAGTATAAATTACATCTCTTACATCGAGTTATTTTATAGATTAAAAAACAGCAGCAAATTAAAATCCAACATTGACATAAACATTTCATATTGTATTGACAATCCTATAAATTTCCCTATTCAATTATATAGTAACAAACAAAGTTTTAAAAATAAGATAATACAAGAAGCGTCCTATTTTACATTTTTATAAGCTTTAACATTCCCCTCAATGGTAAGAAAAAAGTTAAAAACATTTTATACGTGTTTTTAGTTTTGATAAAATATTTTTTTAAAAAATGGAATTATAAAGAATTATAATTCAAGTTATTATAAGATTTATTGATCGTTTCTTTTATTCGTTTAAGAAGTTCTCTTGGTCTAAAAAAATCAAGTAACGGAGGTAAAAAAAAAGCCATTATTATCAATTTTCCATACATTATTATCTGATTAATTAACAAAGATATAAAACTTATTCGTCCAATAATGATTTCTCGCCCTTTAAAATAGGTTTCTGAACTTCATTAAAAGGAGACAGTATTAGTTTTTCAATTACTTTTAATTCATAATTTATATAACTTTTTTTTTTCAATTCACCAAGAGGGAATCATATTACCTACTACTTCTTTCTGTAATTTCTTTAATCCTTTTTCATTAGCAACAAAAAAAAGCATAGTATTTTTCTTAGTTTTCATTTACTTGACAATGGCACATCTTTTTTTTCAGTTTTTTTTCTCTTTCGATGAAAAGAGTGCAACCATTTTAGTGCTAATTGAATTTTTTATATGGAATTTTTTTTCACTTCGCTAATATGACTGATGTTATTAATATTTAATTTTTATTGATGACCTTTCAAGAAGCATAGCAGTTCTTTCTATCTATTCAGTACCTCATAGATGCATAGTACCTTTTTTTCATTAAATGGGAAAATAATCTTGCGAATAATTAACTTTTTCTTAGTCATTACATTTCTGTTTTACAAAATTATTCCAAGCTTTTGTGAAACACTGTTTGAATTTTTTTTATAATTTTTTATTTCATTTGTTATCTAAATATCTCCGTTGTTTTATTAAAGAAAAGCTTATTTCAAATGAAAAAGAAGCATTTATTTTTCTAAATACATGTTCTTAATTTTTCACGAAACTTCTTTTAATAGTTGTAGCAAAAAATAAAGAAGCGAGCCTTAATTATTTTATGCGCAAAAAATAGATACTTATAAACCCTCATTTCTTAAAACAAAAACATTTTCAAAATATTTTTGATATCATATTGCTTTTGTGACAAAAATTAAATCTATATAAAAGCATAATAAACATTTTTCAAGTGTAAGATTATTCAAAATTATTAAAAAAAGATATCCTCGCGAAGCAGATTTGTTTAAATTTTAAAATATAAAAAAATTACTTTGGTCATTTAACGCATGAATGCAAAAAATTTATGAAACACTAATTTATGAAACAAACAAAAAATTATACTTTAAGTATTAATTAATTTGATAAGTTACATTACTTTTTTGAAACAAAAAAAATTAATTGTAAGTTAGTTAAAAAAATACACAAAGAATTTTCCTTGTAAAATCGGGATTTTTATGTCACATTATTTATAAATACGCGTTCGTAAATAGTTCAAAAAAACAATATTTGAAATAGGAAATATTTTTTAATATAATTTAAATACTTTATTGAGTTCGAAAAAAAGGTTTAGTTTAAATTTTCTAAAATTTTAAATACTCTTACAAAGCAATTAATTCGTGTTCTTACCATATGAATAAAAACGGGAAGTCAAATTTTTACATTAAGTATAAATATGTTATACAATCCAGTTTGTTCCATTGGCTAATGAAATGTAGTAAACCTGATGAAAATTAAATAATTCAACTGAATGAAATTAAGTATTGTTATCAAATTTAAAAAATTGCAACCTAATTATACCCCACTATACAAAACACGATAAAAGTTCTTTTTTTATTTTTAGTTTTTTTAATAAAAATTATATTTAAAACAAACTTTTAAAAAAAAATCTGTAATTTGTTTTCATCTTATGAGATCAAAACGCTCAATTCTTATTAACCATGATTTTGTTTGTGAAACGTAACATTTGGTACTTATCGGTTATGATGATAATGTGTTGGCGACTTTTTTTCGAACTGTCGCCAACACGAACATTTTGCCCAAAAAAAATCGATAACTACGATTTTAATATCGTTATTGCCAAAAAAATCGATATTTAACAACCAATTCAATAAATTTCTATTATTTTCACAACGGTCAATATTTTCGTTATCCAAATAAATTTATAAATATTCACAATAATATGACTCAATATTTATCGTTTTGTGTATTATTCAATTTTTTTGATTTGCTATGTTATCGATAACGACCACGATATTACTGCATTCAAAATTAATAGTTATCAATAATAATTTCGAAAATACCGTATTCAAAAATTATAGTTATCAAGTATGGTCTCCTTATTGTCCTATCTACAACTATAACTTATCGGTAGTTGTTTACCTGTGTAAACCAGACTCTAGCGTTGCTCCAACGTCTGGCGAACTTGGTTAACCTAAAACCAATAGGTACCTAATTTTGAAACTATCAAAACAGTTTACGAAAACATGTTAAATGCTTTTAACGAAAACCTATTTGAGATATTACTTATAAGCTTTGTTAATGCATTAAGTACGTTAAGGAGTCAAAATGTTGGCGTTGCAAGGTGACCAAACTAAGATGTTTGTCAAGTAATAACAAACTTTCCTTAGATACTAAAACAATTAACATTTATTTTTACTCTTGAATGTTGCTTATATATTTTATTGGCCGATTCTATTTTCAATATTATTTATAAAACCATTTTATCTTCTTTGCAGGTGGTAAAGAGGTAGAGGTGAACTCTTTCCTGCTATTTTTGGTGCCAAACATCGTTTATCTCTTCTTTTACGTCTAAAGAATTCCAGATGTTTTTTATTCTGAAATATTCTGGAAATGTATTTGTTGTCGACAAAAAAGTGATCTTTCAATGCCACGTTAATGCTGGCGGATCTCTTAAAAAAGGAAGACTTGTCAAAAAACATAAATTTAAAATTGAACTATTTCCCTTGTATGTTACTTGACTCAGTTTTTAAAAAGCATTTGGCACCGAGAAAAGTTTGGTGCTGCCATCTATTGTGGAAATCTACAGACTTATTTGTTGTTAAGCCTAATGTTCTATTCGAAATATATTTTCTTTTATATAACTTCACGCAAAACAATAATGGAAAACTCGTTAACTAAAATGAGATTGCGAACTAAAAATAAAACTTTCCACTTCGTAAAGAGAAATAAAAATCCACCTGAAAACGCATATTGCATATTTGAAAAGATTTCTAAAGAACTGAGAAAGCAAGAAGAATGTAATTTTCAAGTATTGAAAATTTCAAAGAATGATTGTTAATAACAAAATTAATGAGAAAAAGCGTCGTTCACTGTAAATAGTCTTTTCAACTGGCATTTTACGAACATAACTTGGAAAAAAAAACTATATTTTTTAAAGAAGTTAATCTTCGTAATATATAATGGTGTTGAAAATAGTTTAGATTTCGTTCTATTTTGTTCATCTGTACTTTCTTGTTGATCTACGTAGATGTGTTCTAGAATATTTCTGTATAAACTAATCAGCTAGTTGTTTTGAAATTAGACTAATTTGCAAAACGATTTTGTTTTTATTCCTACTGTTTTATATTACGTCGAATTTATCAATCGCTTTAAATTTAAATTATTAATTTTTTTAATATATTATCTATTTAAATTATTTAATATTCTGTTAAATTTCACTGCATATATATCAACTCATACGCTAATATTGTGACACTGCATATTTTTCGTTCACATTTTGCTTTATTGAATAAAAAAAAAATTATAAAATATCTAATGGTGATGTAAAAAACTACAAACGGCGTGAAACTATTTAAATTTAAAAATACCACCGTCACAGTGTTGTTTTAGTTTAAATCTCGTAAAAATATTCAGTGGATTTTTAAAAATGGACGAATGACTTTGAAATCAAGAAAAGAGCTGCACCAGTAATGCATCGCGAGCCCGTTCGAAAAAAATATCCCAGATAGCACAATATTGTAGGACATTCTACTGTTTCGCGTACTATATTGCGAATGTTGGTGAATGTCGTAAAAACATCAATACAATATCGCATACATATTTGTGCTTCTAAGGATAAATTGAAATTATAACGTGAAACTTGATGTAGAATAGTGGAAAAAAGAATTTACAACGAGCTGTTTGGAAAACTAATTAAGACTGATTGAGGAATGCTAATTGAACACGCTGAAAACAAGAATAGCAAATCCCAGTTGCATAATATTGTACTTTCTTTTGTACGCGTGAGATATAGCGATGCGGTGAATGTCGCGAAGATATCATTTCAATATCAAATACATATTTGTGCTTCTAGGGATAAGCTCATATTATAATGTGAAACTTTTGGTGGGATGAAGAAAATACTAAGTGCTGATTGGACAGCTATTTGGGTTGAAAGATTTGATTGGTAAATGATAAATTGGACACGATTTAAACAAGAATGGAATATTTGGAGAAAAAATCCTGTCCTAAAGTTCGTGTCTTACAAGATTGAAATGGGTACTGTTGAATATAAAGGAAATTTTGTTACAAAGGGTGATGTAGATAAAAGTTGTATATTAGAAAAAATATTTTTATTTTACTCTGTAATTATCTTTTAAACTATAAGTAATTTAAATTGTCTGCCATTTCGAAAAAGTTCATATGATTGTATTTTCCTTTATTTGTTTCTTTATTTTAAAACATATATGTTGTGTTTGGCGACACTTATTTATTCATACAAAATATGTAAAACATGTATTATTTCGAATTTTGTTAATTTTGATTCTTCATTTATATGATTGAAGAAAAATCTTTACGCGTTGTTTTAGAAAAGTGACTGTGTATGATAACATATTTCAAATTTTATAAATATTGTTCATCCATGTAAGAAAAATTTGTAAGTGAATTATATATAAAATATAATAAAAGTCTAAGAACTTACCGTGTATGAAATTTATTCACTTCGAAGTCTCTGTGGTCATAAAAAAATATCGATTTTTAGTTAATAATATTCCCTTTTTATAATTTATAGGATTTGCAGTAGTTCGTTATCACTTTTAGGTATAGTCTTGACCTTCTTTAACCCCTTAACAATCGGTTAATTTTCAAGAAAACGGTCATAAAAGTGCTTATTTTGCCAAATACACGTATTTGATTAGTGCTGACTTCTAGTTTAAAATAAGCTAACTATCTACTATTACCTAAAAAATATCCTGGTACTGCCATCTGGTGTGTAAAATGAGAAATAAAATGTTTTCTGGGCAAAAGAAATGGATTATTTTATTCTTGTTGGCCTGTTACTACTGAACACTCCAGCCCGGAAATTTCACGGGAGCGAGAAATAAAGGGCGAAACCTCACCCTGTTATTTTCACGGGAGCGAGAAGGAAGGGGTTAACAAGAATCTTAATGAAAATGGTACAGATTTTCTACAGGCAGAAACGTTACAATAATGCACAAATATGAAACTTTTTAACCCCATTTTTTATTATTTGAAAAATTACTCCAACACTGTATTATTTGGTCTCAGAAATATTTCAAGAAGTTGCAAATTAAAAATTTATTTTAATAAATTATTAGCATTACCTCTACGATGAAAAATCTCCCAAAAATTGCAATAATTTGCAATAATTTCATAACTATTTAAGTGTTTAACCCATTTCTCAATTTTAAAACCCAGGGTACAGCAAAGTGATATGTATTTTTGATGTAAAAAAATATCTTCGCCTTGAATTAAGGCGCTTAACTTTTACCTTTTTATTTTACTTGACACAAGAGCTTCAAGAAATATCCTTATATTTTTAAAGTAATAACGTATATGGCATTTAGTTTTAAATTTAACAACGTGATTAGTTACAACATTTTCGTTGTAATTTGTAAATTGTGAAATATATAAAGTCTAAAATATTTCTTTGGTATTAAACAAATGTTTTTTGGAATTGAAATTTCGTTATCTAACAGTATTCTTTTGAATTCTTTCGCCAAGAAAAGAGTACAGAAAAGGCCAGTATTTAAGTGCCTAACTTTAAAAGTAAAACCATAATTTTAACTTACAAATCCTCTTTTGCCGTGAGGAATCATTTGGGCTTTAAAAAGAAAAAAATATTTAAATATTTTAAAATTTATTACATTTTGTTAATAATCACCGGACATTTTGTTAAAAATCGCACGATTTTACCACCTAGATAAAAATTATAAAAATCAATGAATAATTCTCAATTCATGCAAGTTTTTATGAGCCAAGTAATGTGGCATTGGATTGACTTTTTGAAATTTTTATTTTATTTTATTACCGTCTTTGAACAGCTGACCCAACAATTTACGGCTACCAATGTTTAACTCTATATTCTTGCAATTTTGAACCTAATCCAGAAGACGAGGGAATTCCTGGATAAAGTATAGAGAGAAATTGGCCTTCATGGAGGACTTTTTGAGGGAACTAACCAGCATTTGCGTTGCATGGAGAGGAAAACCTCGAAGATCTTCCGTGGTTAGCCTAGCGGCAGGGGAACTTTAACTAATGATCCGTCTACCACTGAGGATATTTTACGACAGCACAGCGGTCGGTGAAAGCCAGGTGCGTAATTCGTGTCTACCAGCCATTGCTAGGTTTCAAACAGGGCAGCTCATTAAGAAATGAGTGCTCTATCACCTGAGCCACCATGGCTCAACTTTTTGAATTTTAACAACTTTCATCACAAGAGCTTTTCATTTTCACAAAGCTAAGACTCATATAAGTGGATTCCGCCCTTTGACCGTTGACGCTCCTCAACCCCAGATGTTTATATGGTTTACTTTGCAAACCATAATCGCGTCTCCAGCTACTGAGTTAAACACATTTCAAATGTGTTCTATCTTGAAATCTTAAAAATTTAAATCATTTATTAAAACCTTTAAAAAAAACTCTTTAAAAAATTAAAAGTTTTATTCGATAATACGTTATTGAGATAAAACAATTAAAATTAAAATAAATGGCATATAATAGAAAATCTTTCAAAAGCGAAACAATAATTATGCTTTCGAACAACAACATGTGTTACGACACGTCTCTTTCGCATTCTTTCAAGGTTACGTCTTTCATAACTGTCATCAACGCTTTCTTCTGCTCTTCGAGCGAGCACGCTTTGTATTATAAAACAAAGCGTGCTCGCTCGAAGAGCAGAAGAAAGCGTTGATGACAGTTATGAAAGACGTAACCTTGAAAGAATGCGAAAGAGACGTGTCGTAACACATGTTGTTGTTCGAAAGCATAATTGAAAGATTTTCTATCATATGTCATTTATTTCAATTTTTAACCTTTTTAAATGAACAATCATAACAATGGATAAAATTATTATTATTACACCTGAATAAATTTAATTAAAACATATTATTGAGATGTCCAAGTCAGAGGCTAAACTAGATTTGTTCCACTATCATTCAATCATTTCCCGTTTGCACTATTCCTATTGGACGATTCGTATTTTTTCCCAATAAAAACATATTCCTATAGGTTGAATCTGTAATAGATTTATCATGGATGGATTTCCAGTGGACAGGTAAGTGAAGCATTGTCAGCTTACTCATCTCCCTCGAACACTAGGTTTGTTTATATGAACTATTCGCTTTTAATTCCAAACTTATATCCCAGTTTCTTTCAGCTTTTCGTTGGAGGTTTCATTCCCAAATTCATTATGCTTATGACAGCTCACATGCTTGATATTTAAAATTTTTGTTTGCCGAAGCAAAAAAAGAAATGAGGACTTTCTTCGTCACCTCGTAAGAGAAATTTGCATGTAGATTGACGCTTTGCACCATTTTCAGAATTAGTAAAGGAGGCACTGTCTGAAGATAGACTAAATTTAACCTAAAATTTAACTGTTTGCAAACTCACGGTAATTATGAAAATAGCATATTATTCACACAAAAAGCCCCTTTTTAACGTGACCTTTTTTTTTCTTTTCTTTTTTTTTGTTACTAAAAATGTTGCGTCCTCACAAGAAGTTCAGAAGAATAATAGAAAAACAAATCAAAATTGTAAAACAGACTGAATCTTATGGATTATGAATATATATAGCCCCCTTTGTTAACTAGCTTGGTCACCTTTCAAAATTATATTGTACAACATGTGAACTTTATTGGTAATTAAACCGAATGCACAGCACAACTGTATTTAAATATTGTATTTCCTTAACTCCTCCTCTAATACCTAACTCCTCCTAACACCTCAATTAGATTTAAACAATTGCATTAATCAATATTTTTTTCCAGCGGCTTTGCCCACGTAGAAGTACTTTGATTTTAATTTAAACTATTTTCAAGTGATGCCTGTGATATCGTCAATGATCTTTTTTCTATTGAATTTTAGTAATAATTTGAAATCAGCGCGGCAACCATTTAATCACATGAACCAAACTTTACTTTAAACAAACCATTATTAGTATGATTTCGGGACATTTCAGCGTAGCAACCAGTAGTATTAGAATTATTTTCATCTCTATTGTGAAGATGGAAACCTCATTCAATGCTGTACTACCTCTTGAGCCATAAGTTGAGTATCGTATAATATGTCATTGCTATATTGCTTGAATAAACTATCATCAATAATTCTATGACAATATGCGGCAACATAGCATACTAGTTGTTTATGCTTGAAATTTCTACAGCCATTTTAGAAAGAATCAAATATAATTCCAAAAAATTTAAACTAAGCTATTTTATTTCTATAAAAACACAAAATTATTCTAAATAAATACTAAACGTATAACTAAATATTCATGTTTTACTTAAATTATTACTCAGAACAGCCTAATAAAATTAATCGAATTAACGGAACCTAATAAAATTAATTAAAAACTCGAATGCGTTACCTATAGAGAGAGAAATACACGTGTTTATGGTGCCACCTAAGAAAAATACACACAGATTAGACATCATTTATAAATTGTTTTATAAATTGGAAGCGCTCTAGATATTTTTCAGTATTTAACCATCTCATCGACTGTGATAATTACTAGAGTTTAAAATAAGCTAAACAATAAACGTGCATTTATGCAGCATTCATGTTGTTTAATTCTGCTACAAATGATTTTTTTTAAAAAAAGAATAAATAAAATAAATAATATAAATAAATACTATACGTATAACTAACTATTCATGTTTTTCTTAGATTATTACTCAGAACAACCTAATAAAATCAATCGAATGATGGAACCTTATAAAATAAATTAGAAACTCGAATATTACCTATAAATAGAGAAATACACGTGTTCTGGTGACACCTAAGAAAAATACACGTAGATTAGACATCATTTATAAATTGTTTTAAAAATTGGAAGCTCTCAAGGTATTTTTCGGTATTTAACCATCTCATCGACTGTGATAATTACAAGAATTTATAATAAGTTAAACAATAAACGTGCATTAACGCAGCATTCATGTTGTTTAATTCTGCTGCGAATGATTTTTAAAAAAAAAGAGTAAATAGAATAAATAAATAAAGAGAAATAAAACTTTGCAGAAAACTTCGAACGAAAATTACTGAATATGAGTGGAGATAATTAAATCGTGAGAACTGAAGGAGTTGGAACAGTATAATACCTACACATTTTCATACAGAGCGTTATGATCGTTTTTACTGAAAAATACCACGACTAAATTAAATAATTAAACGTTTTCATGTATTGTGTTGATATCCAGTGATGATTTGAAAATTTGTGTATTATCTATCTAGAAACGATACTAAGTCGCAGAATTAGGAATACAGCTAATCCCTATGTTGCTTTAAACCCATCAATTTTTTTTTCTAACGAAGTGCGCGAGGGGTCGTTCTGCAAATTAGTAGATGAAAATTCATCCTTCTCAATAGTGATTAATGAGGTTTACTCTCATACCATCAATCTATGAAACGTTCTGTGATAAGTTGCGTCAGAACGATGTTACGTGCTGAATATTGAAT